GCCAAACCATTAGAATTAGTTTAGTGATTTGTTCCAGTTAATATTTTATTTATTTATTTATTTATTTATTTATTTATATAAAATTTGTATAAATTTAATTTATAGAAAATTGTGTCTCTGGACAGCTTGCAACATAAATCAGAATGAAATAGATAAATTGACTATTCCATGCTAGCTGTAATTAATATTAAAAAGTATAAAGGAAAGATAAAGGAAAATTTCTATAAATTAATATAGAAATGTTATCTGACATGGGTGAAACTATATTATATGGCTAATAAGTATTCCAATATATATTGAAGAGGTGGTCAGAAAGTGGGTACTTATTTCCTTATGTGGTGGGAATGTGAAAATATGATGAAATTTTGAAAAGTGGTTTTCAAGGATAGCAGCAAAATAGTAAATTAAGATATTGAAGCAGACCCTGGAATTGCATTATTGTCATTATTTCATGACAGGAGATGGAAGTGGAATACTAAAGAACTAATAACAAATGTATTAACAGCCATAAAATTAATAATAGCAAAGAATTGAAAGGGAAATTGTCATTTCGAATTAAGTGAATGGTAAAAGGAAATTTGGAACATTAAGACAATTTAATGTGCAGTATTAAGGTATTAAGAGAGCCAGTGTGGTGTAGTGGTTAAGAGCTTGGGACTGGGACTCAGACGATCTGGGTTCGAGTCCCCGCTCAGCCATGGAGCCAACTGGGTGACTTTGGGCCAGTCACAGACTCTCAGCCCAACCTACCTCACAGGGTTGTTGTTGTGGGGATAAGATGGAGGAGGAGAGATGATGTAAGCTGCCTTGAGCCCTTTGTAGGAAAAAGGCAGGATATAAATCCATAAATAAAAATAAATAAATAAAAATAAGGTAAGAAAACAGTTGACAGACAACTGTTTCAATGACATTTGCAGGCTGTGGAAAAAGATACTAAAACTACCTGTGTCCCTTGTGTCATCATTTTGCCCACCCTTCCAACTTGATCCCTTCTGGATGGTTGAGGTTTCAACCCACATCAGTCCCAGCCAGCATGGTCAGTGGTCAGCAATGCTGGGAACTGTCAGGTGAACCACCTAGAAGGCACCAGGTGGGGAAGGACTGCGTTAGGGTTAGGGGCAACAAGTTACTATCTGGGGAAGAGGGAATAAACGTGTAGCCCTTCCAGGATGGAAGGAGTAGGAGGGGGGCCATGGAAGGAGAAGGAGGGGGCCATGGGCTCAGGTGGCCTTTTGAGAAACTGCCCCTTGTGGTGGGAATGTGCACCTCCAAGACATGCATGAATAGTTGCAGAAACACAGCCTTTCCATAAAACTGGAGACAAGGCAGTGTTGGGGGTCTGAAGCCCAATACACTAAACCAGACTGACTCCAGTTTTCAGCACCAAATCCAGCTTTCTCCTTCACAGAAAGCAAACTTTTCTTTTCTCCTGACTCCCACTGCCAGCCAACTCATTTTGCCACCCTTTCCTCTCTCATTCTGGATCACTTCCCATAGATGTTCTCTCGTTCTGTGATTCGGCTTCAAGATAACTTGGGATTTGGTAAGGGAGGATGGTTGCCATGGTCGATAAGAACTTAATCCCTCTCTCCAGCACCCCTGTTTATCCAACTACTACTTTGGAGTGTTTGCACCTTGTGTTGGGTCAGCAGGAAAGACAAGCAATTCTGTTGGTGTAGCGCCTGCCCTTCAACTCATCAGTCTTCCTATGTAAGCTCATGGAGGTGGTCTCAGGTGTGATGCTGGTGTGGGGGGATTTCAACCCCCATGCTGCTGCAGGCATCCTTTCTAGGACATCTCAGGACTTCCTCATCTTCATGACAACCATGAGGCTGTCCCAGCACGTCATGAAATGTTTGTGGATGCACTGGAGCCCATGGGCACCACATTGCCTACCTCCTTCTTAATGTAAAGATTAATCTTTGACCTTTCAAGCATGGTCCACCAAACAATGAATTCACAGACAAATAAAGAATGTAAAAATAAATGGAGGTTGTACAAGTTTCATTTACCATTAAGTCTATAAGAAAGCTAGAATCTGGCATATATCTGTTGCCCAATACTGCTTGATTACTAATGAAGACCAAAAAGGGAATGTCTAGCCTCAAGATCCAGATTCTCTATCTCATAAGGGTGTGCGGTCCTCCTGCACAAAACAGAAATAAGATGGACATACAGTGCTTCACACACTTGAAGCTGCCTCAAGCCCTATTTAAGTTACATGGCTTGGTAGAAAAATAGTATATGGAGGCAGATGCCTGCCATTAAAGAAATCACATTCATAGTGAACTTGATTTGGCACTGTTCCCTCCTTTCCAGTTCACAATTCTTTCGCCACACAGCTTCCATCCCTGCACACAACTGCACAGAGAATGCTTATTTGTGTGAACCAGCCCCTGATTACGCACATTTCATGGCCAGATGATGTTTGGCTTTCCAAGATTGCAAAATGATATGTTTGGAATTAATATGGCTTTGTATATGCATGCCTGTTGATACTTTCAAAAAAACCTAACAGCTGGAAAATAACATAAAATCGTAAGTACTTTTGAAAAGGAATAAAATGAATTCAGTGCTAAATTAATGTGTCCAGCTATTTGTTCCATAAGCCAACAGCTTCAGAGCATATGGACCTAGATGGGCCTCAGAGCTACTCTCCATGGCTCCAAAAGTTATCCGAGGTTTTTGTATTTAAGAATCAAGTAAGAGTATGCATTCAAAAATGTACAGATTTAAGCCAGAAGAAGCAGCACAGGACACAATAACTAATAGCATCTCATGGTCCACTTTGCATTTTTCAGACACCATGTGAATTAATGGCACTTTTAATATGGGATCACAGCTCTTGTCAGTTACAGCATTTCCCCTTAAGCTCTCATTTGCGATGGGGCACTTTATTGTATGCAGTTGGCAGACAAGGCACTGGACCCCCAGCTGTTCAGATTCCTTCTATCAGTCGACATAATTGCACCACCGCCCTGGTAATATCTTCAGCCTCTCTTTGCAGTTTCTTGTTAGTTGCAATGGACATACCTAAAGTAAATGAGCCACCTGTTGCACTGCCAGTTCTGTTTATGGAAGCCCCAATGAACATTTGGTTATGTGGTTTGACAGTAATTGTTTAAGAGGACACCATTGTAATGACATTGTAAATACGGTTGCTGATTTATTTGAATCAATAGCAATATGAGTGTGCTCAATAGAGTATATATGTAAGTTTATTTGCAGTTCTTGAAGCCTTGGATCAAAGATCACAATACAAACCTCTGCATAAGCATTTAACGTTTCTACATAGGTTGTGCTTGAACATTTCTCATTCATTATTGGTTCAATACCAGTTGCAAGATAAGCAGCATCACCAAATCATTTGGTAGGAAGAAAAGTGGAGGAATCAATACAGAATAACCAATTCATCAGGGCATTTGTCTCACAGATCACATACCCTGGGATTTATGTCATATCATAGATATATTTGTTTTGCCAGTGTGGGAGCTTGCTATCATAGCTAAGGATGGCTTCTGGTAGATGCCAGTTATGTAACATCTGCAATCAGGTAACTTTTGTGGAATTCTGTTGTCCATATTCTTATTAAATGACATTTTATAAAATACAGGTAGATATATTTCAATATGGGGCAATCAAGGTCAGAGACTACAATGATAAATTAGTTTGGAACATCTTATATACTAGCAAACACAGGGTAAACATTTCTAAGCAAAGTCTGAGTAGTGAACTATTTATGCTTCCTAAGCATAATTATCCAATCACGCAACATCAACATCAACATCAACTACAGGTATGGCTGGGCACCTGGCAAGAGTCCACTGATGTGAGTTGCTCCTTCTCTTCACCTTGCTTGTTAATATGCCTCCTGTTCTAAAGCAGATGATGGTGTTGGTTGAGTAGTAGATGCCACCGCCACTTTGCACACTAGCTCTCAGCCTGTCCAGCAAGCCAGTGGAGCGATGGTGAGAAAGGGAATGAGGAGCAAGAGCAGGCGGTGAGAATGGTGGAAGGGTAGACTGAGTGGAGGAGGATACCCACAGAAGATGTCTTGCCTTGGAGAGGGCACTGCATGAGAAGACACTTCCCTTTCCTCTTGGACAGTCAAGGACAAAGTATTTCGTATCCCATCCTCAAAAAAGGATAAACATAATGGCTATTAGACTCTTGCCCCCAGTTATTCAATCCTAATAGCTGACTAATGGCAATATCCATCATATATGCGAGTGAGAGAGCATGTCTTAGAAAAGCTGGGCAAGATCTTGGTCCTGTGGCCTTAGATGGATGGACCAGTGGGCTAACTTAGCTATGTTATACCATTCTCTCAGTGGCTGAGTCCCTGAAAACGGCAAAATAAAACAAAGGGCATTTGGCAAGCAAAGTCATTGACTTCTCATTGACCACTTCTCACATTAGTTGTCCTTAAAACAGTTCTCAAGGGCCATGTCTTAAGGGTCAGATTCATATTTATTTAAAATAGCTGGATATAAATTCACTCCCAGGGGAAGCAGTACCTTCCAGGCATGTATGTTCCAGGTTGTTGCAAAGACATCACCACTTCAGAAGGACGCCGCTGGTCTTCATGATTCAAGTCTGCAAGTGCCACCTTTTCCCCATACAGACAGTTATTGTAGACCCAGATGGCAGGGCAGCAGCTTGTCCAGGAAGAAGGAAATCATCACATCTCAGTTGTCAGCCTCGTCCAATAGGCTGCACGAACTCTTAATACTATTATATTCCACCAATCCAAAATACTAGGAAGCAAAGGGCTTGTTGGTTTGTTCCAGCAACAATATCGTGAGCTATTGTACATGGGAACTTCTTTGCAACACGCTACTTTTTAATTATAGGCCTCTTTTAAAAATGGCCCCCAAACCCCATTGCCCCTATGAGGACAGGAACCATTAACTAGCCCCTATGAAATGTTCAAAAAGTCCTTTTCTGTGACATTTTCCAAGAATGCACTGTTTGCTCATTGAAAATCCATGTGAGCATTTTCAGGAATCCTTCCTCTTTTGGGGACACCTACGAGCCAGTCTGTAATCTAAATAAACACTAAAGCAGGACCATAAAATGAATCTTGTTAATATAATGATGACCATTAAAATCATCAAAAGGCCCGATTCCATTTTGTAGCTGGAATACTAAAGTAGTGGGGAGCGGGGGAGAGTTACTATTCCAACAACTATCACTATTCTGGGAGATCTAATTATATAATGTAGCATTCAGTGCAGTGCGGCAAACCAAGCCATTCCACTAACATTCCAATCAAAGTGATCTCACTAGCATGTGAGAGAGAGGAGTCCAGCTGACAGATTTGGGACATGTAATGTACTATTTAGTCAAGAGGCCCCATGTACTATTCATAAAGAATTAACAACTCTTATATTGACAATGACAGTATTGTCAGAAGATCTTTGGAAAGGGAAGAGGGGAGGGGGAGCTCCGTAAACACATACTGCCCCCTCTCTCTCTCTGAAGTTAGATTATTTTTTCAGCCTCTTCCCCCCACCCCCAAATGCTGATGTAATCTCCAAACATCTACAACAGCAGCTGCTTAGCGAAACCGGGCACCTTCTCCCTAGTCCTTTTCAGAAGCACACGCGGCACTTTCCAGCCCCTTCAAGACAATTGGGCCCTTTCTTTTGCCAATTAGCTATCACTTCAAGAGCCCCCACGCTGTCCAACGGGCTCTTAAGAACAGTCTTTGCAGGAAACAACACTGGAATGGCTTTTTTCCTCTTTTTTCCTTTCCTAGACAAATTAAAAAGGGAAGAAGGGAGGGAAAAGAAGAGGGAGAAGCAAATCAGAGCACAGAAAGTTCCCAAAATGCATTGCTCATCAATTAGTACACAGCCACACGCACAAACACCCATGAGAGTCAATCTCATACTAGGAATGAGAGACAAGGGTGGCGGTGGGGGGGGGAATACTCACTTTCTCTATGGGAGACAGTTTGTTTCAGTCAGTATGTTAAGCAGGTTTGACAGAAAGGACTGTTTGTTATAGCAAAGCTCAGAGTTACAAAAACTGCTCCATAAAAGAAGTTCTTGGAAGGCTGATCTTTGTTTCTATGTGTTAGGTGCATTGTTATTTGTAGCAAAAAGTAGGGTAGGAATACTAAGCTCTGGGGAACTTGATTTCTCTAGCTGAGGGTGAAGATAAATAGATTTTTGGAAAGAGAATGTAAAAGGTTACTGTATGAACCTGTACAAATACAACACTGCTACCATGTTTTCCAGGAATTAAACAAGATTTACATTTCTGCGAAACAAGATATTTAGTCAGATTGGCCCACAGAGACTCTCTCCATGGACTTCCATGGACCATGGGGGTGGGTGTTTCTAGATGCTGAGGCCTCACTCTGTGCTCTGCCTAGACCAACATTCAGTGGGTGTTGCCAGCATTGCAGCTGTCAAATTATTTCTTCCCTAGCCCTGAATTTCCAGTGCTGTGGCTGTCAATTCTGAAGTGCACACAATCATCATGACAGTCACAGTACCAACTTTTCCTATTTTCGTATTTATTTTCAATCATTTGTGGTACAAAGAATGAAAAAGAATTGCACTCCAAATTTGGAAGAAGAGTTGATAATTTTGGAGAAATGCCTCCATGTGCAGGTTTTCACTACTTACCTTACTGTAAGAAGGTGGTGCCTGGAGGAATGTTGTCCATGGGGTCACAGTGGGTCAGACATGACTTCCTGACTGATAACAACAACAACAACAACAACAACAACAACAACAACAACAACAACAACAAAGAAGGTGGTAGGCTGGGTGTGGAAGGGTTCGTTACCATTTTTATCCCATTCTGTCTTTGCTGGGTACTTGAGCTTTCTATGCAAGGATGACCACTTCTTCGAATAACTGTAAAACCAAATTGCCCTGCTTAGCTTTCAGGCACTCACTCAGCAGTCAGGAGCTCTGGAAATGTTCAAACAGGAAGCCCTGGTTGTCATCTAGGGGTCTTTTCTGGAAGCTCAAGTAGCTGGACCAGCTGCCAGGTCAGAAGGGGATAGCACTGGTAAAATAAAGCTCTTTTGAAACAAAATTGAGTGCTCGCATTAGGCACACTGTCAATGTTAGTGTTTTGCTATATGCATTTTTCATTTACAATCATTTGGGTTCACTATCAGAAAGCCATGTGAGCTCCAGGAGAGAAAACCAGCATCCTAAAATGTTTGTGAAGGCCAAGCTTCCTTCATTGCATGACACAGGGGCACCTGATACACCACGGCAGCTTGCTAGCAGGGGCTGGCTCACTGCTCTCATTTGTCACCAGGTGCAGCTTGTCATGATGTCCGAACCCACCACGGGTGTTTTGATGGTATGGTTGAAAGACAACCCAGAACCTGCGGCCTGTCATAGGGCTCTGGGTGCTGTGTTAGCCACCCCAACAAGTCACTCTCTCCAGGTTCAGCAGGAACATAAATTGACAGCTTGGCAGCTGCAGGTGCTATGATGGACTGCGGCACTCATGCAGAGCAGGGCTCTGTTTTCCTAGAGTGAAAACAGACAATACTTTAAATCTTTAGCTACTTATTTTTTCATAGGTGCAGGAGGCTGATTCTGGATCAGGACAGTGAGGGGCTTTTAAAATGGGGGCCCTGAGTCTTTCCTACAGTGGAGCAGGGGAGAGACATAGCTTCTAGACGGAGATCTAAAGCAACGTCTGCTCTGGGCCTTGGTCTCACTCTGGCATTCTGTTCACACATAGAAGGGAATCTATAGAAGTGCAAGAGAATCCAGAATTATTGGCCATTCTAAGTCTGCTTAGCCTCCACAGAGACATGTTGCTGGAACATCACTGACTATGATCAACACTCCTTTGGCGTGCCCCATTATTGCTTCTGTGTCACCCACACCCACAGAAATCTGGTGCAATCATTTATTTTATTTCTATGCTGGAGACCAAGGCTGAGATCACCCACACTATTCCCAATCACTAGATATGGGTGCAAAAACTGGACAGTGATGAAAACTGACAGGAAGAAAATGGATGCATTCAAAACATGGTGTTGGGCAAAAGCTTTGCGTCCAAAAGACAAATAAGTGTGTCCTACTTCAAATCAAGACAAGACTTTTCCTGCAAGCAAAAATGACAACATTGAAACAGTCATACTTAGAGCACACCATGAGAAGGCAAAACTCACTGGAGAAGACAATAATGCTCAGGGAAGTCAAAGGCAGAAGAAGATGAATCAATGTGAGATGTATCAATTCCATAAAGGAAGCCATAGCCTTGAGTTTACAAGAGCTGAGCAGGACTGTGAAGGACAGGACATTTTGAAGGGCAATCACTCAGAGTTGCCGTAGGTCAGAGACAGCCTGATGGCACATAATGACAATAGTTGAAGCTAGTGGAAATCCATAAGAAACCTATATCAAAACTGATACATTAGAACTTCATTTGCTTTGCTTGTAGCAATTAGCTTGGATGTCTTGCGCGCGCGCGCGCTCTCTCTCTCTCTCTCTCTCTCTCTCTCTCTCTCTCTCTCTCTCTCTCTTTCATAGTATCCAAAGCAAGTAAATTATTCCAGACATCCTTTTCTAATAATGATCACATTTCTTCTTCCAACTTCTGTGCTTTGCTTTACTTCATCTTTAGTGCCCTGCACTGACTCCTTCTTTGACTACATCCACATCTCCTTCTGAGTCTAATGTAAAAGGTCCTTCTTCTGCCCCACTCTTGGGCAAAATTCATGCCAATGTCATTTGGCAGTTTTCTCCCCCTCTGACAATATCGGTTTGGAGAGTTCTCCTTCATGGAATTGGCATCCCTATGCCACACACTGTGGTCCTGATCCAGCGGGGCAGATCCATGCACATAGCAAATTTAGATGTGCATCTGCATAGATGAAATCCCTGTGAAAGTTTTGATGCTTATTCAAGTTCTCCCAATGTGAGCATTTTAAATGAAAATCGCACTACATGTTGGCCCACATTCTGGACCACCCATTGTCATGAGACCACCACATTGTCATGTGCATTGTCTGCACATGACAATGTACAGAAGCCTTCCCCAACCTGCTCCCTTCCAGGTGTTTGTTTCTGTTTGTTGGTTTGTTTTTTACTAGAACTTCCAACATTCCTGATCATGAAGTAAGCTGGCAGGGACTGATGGAAGTTGAACTCCAAAGCATCTGGAGGGCACCAAGTTATGAAAACGTCTTTTATAAGGTTATGATGAGTAAATAAATACGATATTGTCTTTGCTCCTATGTAACATGCCAGATTCAGCATATGTTGTCCTCAAAACTTTACTTAAAACCTTGTGTAAGTAAGAGCTGTCTGGAGGAAGATTCTTGGACAAGCTGTAATCTGAAGCATGATTACTACATTGTAGTATTTTATTTTAGTTCAGCATCAACAGTTAGCAAAGGCCAACTGTGTATAAAATACAGTGCACTTCATTCTCCAAATAAAAATAAAACTATTTATTTTTAACAGTATCAGCAGCAGACCCATGATCCCCAAGTAACCAAGTTATTTCATTTAGTTGTATTAAAATATTTTAATCCCACCTTAATGCCCTTTCAAGCTGCTTACAACTTTAATGAAGTAACATTTAAAACAATATAATTATCTCCTTTATTTTATAGGAAATAACTAGCATAAGAGATTCATGCTGATAAAAATATTTCAACAAAATACTAAAAATTAGGAAAATAAGATATTAAACTTACATTATGAGTCCCATATTCAGTGAAGGAGCAAAAGAGAGCAACAGAAACCCAGCAAGGTTCTTTTGACTAATACAAGGGTATCAATGTTTTATTATCAAAAATTTTGAAAAAAAAACCAACAGATGACCAGTGCTTATTTCTTAGTATCACAAGTTTCCTGTATTTATCAATTTGGAAATGTAAAAGCATGTCACTTCTTTCACTATATTTACCTAAGGTCCCACAATTCTCTGTACAATGAAGTGAAAACAATACCGTCTTTTAGAAGAGTCCTATTAAAAGCCAAATCAAGAATTTTTATCTTTAAAGGGTAAAATCTGAAATGTTGACAAAGTCAACAACTGTTTCAAGACCAAGTGATTATATGCACACTCCAAGTTCATTCAATGTTACATTGTGCTTAGAAGGGCATAAGCCACATGCCTGTTATTTAGTCTGCAG